TTAGCTTGACGTGCCTTTACCGATTTGGCCTTAGAAGCGCGTTCGGTTAGCAAGGTCGAATTTACTGTCTTTAAACTTCAATCTTCCATGAATCTCTCACGTACATTCATATCTGCTCATATATATACTGGGAGTGGGGGGGGAGACGAAAATAGTTTTACAAACTTTTTGGGGGCTGGTTCCTGACACCAAAACAAGGTAAAATGTCCGTAGAAACATGTCCAAAAAGTCATAACATAACAGCTCATAACAAATGTTCAAAATGTCCTCCGCTTGTTTCTACACAGGCATGCATCCCTCGAACCTAGATCAATTACGGCTGAGCAGTGAGTTCCAACCTCACTGGCGCTCCATACCCTTGTCCTTGTGCCACATCTACATTTCTAAGCTACGCCTAGTAAATTGCCTCAACAAGATAATACATTTGTTATAGAACGAGTAAACTAGTATTAATAAAAGATTCTATTGGACATAAATTGGGAGATTAGTTTGTTATTGTTCTAAAAGAATAAACCCTTTCTCGAAATTACTATATATTAATTAATGAGTACAAGTCACTAAATGACTCAAACGTGAATACATTCAGATAATAGTAAGGACTTAACAAAAGTATACCATTAGGTTTGGCGACATAACTAACTCGTAACAAAAATTAATCAACGGAATGATAGGTTTCAGTGAAGGTTGATAATGGAGGTAAAAGCTTCATCTTCTGCTGCTTGGATTGAGAATATCAAGAATAGCCTTCTGAATCTGGAGGGTCGGTAACCTACGGCACGCGTGCCACACATGGCACGCCAAGCAATTTCCAATGGCACGCAAATGACATCACGAAGTCCGAACCAATAACTCCTACAACGCAAAGAAGATATTTAGCTGTTTCAATTTTAATATATACTAAAGTATATCTGCTATAATATATTACTATATAAGATATATTGTAGAACAGGTATATTGACCTTGATTTGTATAAAAATACGTACACTGTTGGCACACACTGAATGATTTTAGAACCCTAAGTCGGCACGTAGCAAAATGTTGTCGACCCCTGGCTTAGCATATATTCGCTAAATATGACGTGTGTGTGTTTGTGTGTGTATTTATACAAACACACATATGCACAATAGAGAAAGAAGAAAAGGAAATTTCATCCCAAACTCGGAATTGAATTCATTATTTCGCGACGGGGTGGGGAATGGTTACTTTTAACTAACGCCTTAATCAACCCAGAGAGAATATTTAAAGGTATATAAAACAGCAGCACAGTGTTTTATGTTATTTGAATTATGCAATATTTTATATTTTTGACTTTTTACATATTAAATCATTTTAGAATTTTAAATTTTATTTTTTTAATTGCATCGTTTGTTAATCTTTTAAATCCTTGCCCGATTTATTATGTTTTTTATTGTTCCTGTCTCGCATTTTTACTCGGAGTCCTCAATATAATTAATTCTTATAATGACTGGACGTATGTCAAAATTGACTATAAGATTAGCAAATTGTTCCTTTTTTTACTACTACACGCTGGGCAGCTAAACTTAAGATAGTTTAGCCACGTGCTCTTTCACCCACTCGACCATTTTGGCATACCAGTGGCATTCCCCCCCACCCCTGTATCATCAACTGAAGCGACAGGGCTAAGGGAGAGATAGATTCAGGGAGATGTAGGTACATGCCATTGCCAAGTGCCTTAGCTAATGCGCAAACCTCGACAGGATTTCAGACTCTATTCATTCTTTTCCGAGCCGATAACCATTGTGCTATACCGAACAGACGTTACAGCGATTTAGAACACTTTACGCCAACTTCGATTAACATCAATAATAATAATAATGATATTAATAATAATACAAATTACTTAGTCGTGGATTTATAATCGATCTGTGACTCATAGACGTGAGCCGAACTGTCCTGATTTGCCTCATCAATCTCTCAGCAAACTTTTCAGTCTTGTGAACTTTGACCTCGTGCCATCTGGCCACATCCCTATTAATTTACAGCAAAATTGTTTCGCTTTCTGTCTGTATTTCCGTGACTCCCCAGGGATTTACGCGACAAAGAGATTTGAATGTAGTGTGAACGCCCGCCAGCGTGGAAAAATAGCAAGCACAACATATTTAGGCTCTGCAGCTGCAGCTAGCAACTAAAGAATCAATCGAATTAGTTAAATACTTCATGAATAAAGAAGCAAAACCATAAAATCAGTAGCGATATCAACGCTAAATAAGCTTAAAGCGAAATTTGCTGTTTTCATTTTGTTTTATCTATCTATATTTTGTTGATATCTATCTATCTATCTATCTTTTGTCGAGTTCTATCTATCTATCTTTTGTCAATATCTATATATATTTTTTTCAAAATCTATCTTTCTATCTATGTATATTTTGTCACGATCTATCTATCTATCTATCTATCTATCTATCTATCTATCTATCTATCTATGTTCATTGATCTCTCTCTATCTATATTTTGTCAATCTCTTTCTACCTATGTACATAGCACTCTCTGTCTTTATAATATTTGTCTATCTATCCATCTATCTATCTATGTTGTGGAGTAAATAACACAAGCCTAGTAACACAAATGAACTAGGCAAGACGCCTTAAATAAAGAACTCCAAGTAAATCAGGGCAGTCAGTTGGAGTTTGCCAGGAGATTTTCTAACAGACGTCACGGCGAGTAGTCTAAGCAAAACATAATTTTATAACCGTTAGGAGTGATTTATAACAGTGGCGAAGTTGGATCGAAACTCATACGAGTTGAAAAAAAGGACATTTTTTTTGGCTTCGGCGCACATGATATCAATAACTACGTGAAATGAGAACGACGTTGGTTTAATGTTTTTATATTTTGGTGTGTAAAAAAAAAAGAAGAAATAAAAGGAAAAAAATCTACAAATATAGAAGAATTGTTAGCCCAATTTGTAAAAATACAACAACAGAAGTTGTTGGAACTCCAGAACAACAAAATTTAATTGAAATAATACGGAAGAAAACGGAAAAAATCCTCAAGCTCTTCCACTTCCGACGCTGTGGCAAATGCCATATATGAATTCACTGGCAATTCGTGTAATGGAATTACTTTTTCTGCTTATTTTAGAAGATATGAGCAAATAACGCATCGACTGGGAAAACGAGAGTAAAACAAGATTTTTGTTGAGAAAGTTAATACGGGTAGAATATGAAAAATACTGTAATTTTGCACAACCGAAATAAATTAGGAGAAATTTGCTTTGAAGAAACAGTAAATAGCCTGACTAAAATTTTTAGCGAGAAAATCTTGTTGTCCAAATCTCATTGGAAGTGTATGAATCTGACGAAAAAAGAAGACGAAGATATTACTACATATGCTGGAATCATTAACAAGGTGTGTCAAAGATTCACATTAAACGAACTGACTCCGGATATGTTTAAAGGGTTAATTTTCGTTCAAGGGTTAATGGCGAAAAAAGAAGTAGAAAATAAGTGCTAAAAATACAAGAACAGCAACAACAGCAGTTGTCGGAACTCTAGAAGTAACAACAAAATTTAATTGAAATAATACGGAAAAAAACGGAAGATTCCACAAGTTCTTTCACTCCCGAAGTGGTGGCAAATGCCATATGTGAATTCACATACTATTCAGATGATGGAATTATCTTTTCTGATTATTCTAGACGGTACGAGGAATTTTTTTAGAGAAGAATGCAAAGATTGGGAAGACGAGAGAAAAAACAAGACTTTTGTTGAGAAAGTTAGCACAGATAGAACATGTAATTTTGTACCACCGAAAAAAAAAATCCGGCTGTTCTGTCGGATGAGTTGGGTCAGTGTTCCAAAGTCAAAGCGAAATTTCAAGTGAAAAAATGGTCGACGCCAGTGTTTAGACTGAAACGTATTGTACCATTCGTAGTATTGGGTCAAGTCAACGAAGAATTAGACAATCTTGAAAAAATAAGTGTTATTGAAAAAATTGACTATTCACAATGAAAAGCAGCAGAAGTGTATGTAAAGAAAAAAATGCGGTTTGTGATGTTTTTTCGACAGGATTAAAAAAATCTTTAGAATTCCATAACTACCCATTACCAAGTTCAGAGGACATTTTTGCGAATTTAAACTGTTGTAACATTTTTTCGAAGTTTTTCGAGTTAATAACTATATAAATACACACTAGGGATTGCATAAGTTCAACCGACTTCCTTTTGGGATAAAATTGGCTCCAGCTATATTTCGATACGTTATGGATACTATGTTTGCAGATTGTGATTTCGCAGTTGCTTATCTGGATGATATATTAATTAAAAATGTAGCTAAGTAACAACATATCGGTCATTGGAAAAGGTTTTTGAGAAAATACGGGTGCACGGGTTCAAACTCAGTTAGGAAAAGTGGGAATTTTGTAAGCCTCAAATCAAGTACCTAGGACAAATCATAACAAAAATGGTCATCAACCAGATCCATCAAGGACAAGTTCAATTAAGAATATGCCTTCTCCAACAAACGTTACTAGATTATAAGCATTTCTGAGACTAGCAAACTTTTATCAAATTTATATACCTAATATGCAGAATTTGAGAGAACCACTGAAGAATTTGCTTAAAAAAGGTGCAAAATGGAACTGAATTAATAAGTGTCAGAAGGCGTTTGAAGAAATCAAGAAAATACTAACATCAGACTTATTATTAGCACACTACAACCCAAAAGCAGAAATCGTATTGGCTTCAGATGCTAGTGACTATGGTATAGGAGCAGTAATTCTACATAAATGTGATGACGATAACATGAAAGTCGTCGCACATGGTTTGTATTCGATACTACCGGCAGAAAAAAAATCTACAGCCAGATCGTAAAAGAGGTATTAGCAATAATATTTGCAGTGGAAAAATTTCACAAATTTATACACGGAAGGAGTTTTCGTTTGCAGACAGACCATCGACCTCTATTATCAATTTATGGTTCGAAGAATGGAATTCCTACGCATAGAGCGAATAGATTACAAGACTGTGGTCCCATCTTAATTAAATTACGCTTTCAGGATGGAATATCAACCTTTTAAAAATTAGAACATGCTGATGGTTTAACAAGACTGATAGCAAAAGTGTTGAACCGTTTAAGGACACTGTTATTGCAACATTAAAAAGGTAAAACAGAAATTAAAAATATATTATGCAATGTATTACATGAACTACCAGTTATCCTGGGAGAAATAAAAGCTGAACAAGACATGTTCATTTCGAAAAAAACAAAAAACAAAAAAAACAAAAAACAAAAAAAAAAAAAACACTAAAAGAAAGTAAGAAATACGATTTTTAGAACGCAATCCAGATTTGGGCGCTTACTCGCTACATTACGAAATACTGATGTTTGCACAAAGAGTAGTAATACTTAGCATATTACAAATGCAGATATTAAAATGAATTTCATAGTAGACACCCAGGAATATAAAGGATGAAATCTCTTATGAGAAGCTATCTATACTGGACCAAAATGGATGAAGACATTTAAAAGTTAGTATACGCCTGTCAGCAAAATCACCTACCACAAAATGACAACCTTGGCCAAAGACAGATATACCATGGTCAAGACTACACATAGATTTTGCAGGTCCAGTAAATGGATCATTTTATTTTGTACTAGTGGATAACTTTATTAAATGCCCTGAAATTTATAAGTGCAAAAAAAAACAAAAAAAAAAAAAAAAAAAACACAACTTCCATAGTTAAGTGATTTATTTACGTGAACCGTTTGCAAGATATGGCATTCCGGATGCCATAGTCTCAGGTACACAATTTACTGCTTACGAATTTAAAGATTTTTATAAAATGTTCTCCATTGAACATATTACTACCTCGCCGTATCACTCAAAGTCAAACGGACAAGCTGAACGGTTTGTGGGTACTTTTAAGAGAGCTTTGAAAAAAAAGAAAGTAATGAAAAAGTGAACAAATAAGCACTACAAAAATTCTTGAGAGGATACTGGATAACGCCGAATCTCAATACACCGTCAGGCATGTCACCGGCAGAATTGATGTTTGCAAGAAAAATTAAATCAGTATTCGACAATTTGTTACCAGATCAAAAAGGATAAGAACGGATAAGAAAAAGGACAAAAATGTTTTCAAAATTGACGAAAAAGTTTTTTTCAGGGTATATAGAAATGGAAAAGAAATTTGGGAAAATGGCGTAATAAGATCACGAATTGGAAAAATGATATATATGGTAAAAGGAAAAATATGGCAACACAAAAGGCATTTTATTCAGTTAAAGAAAAGGTTTCTGGAAGAAAGGCCTGCAAAAAAGGAAGAATATATTCAAGTACTGTATGATACTTTTGATGTACCAACCCCAAGAATTTGTTGAACGTCCAAGTATGATTACCAGGAACAGGAAACGTCTGGAAAAACTAGACGTTGACAAAAAAAAAGGAATACAAAGTTCAGTACGTTGGTGAATTCGCCAATAAGAGGAGGGGGTGAATATTAAGAAATAAAATAAAATATTTACTAATAAAAAAAAACTCTCAGAAAGGGAAATGCGACATAACCCCCCCCTACACACACACGTCGGCAACAAAAATGAACTAGGCAAGACGTCTTAAATAAAGTGAGTCGTGCAGTCTGCTCTCTGGTCCGTGATTGTCAAGTTTTCAGTCTTCGGGCAAAAATACGACACAGAAGGATAGACAATACAAAGTGCACGATACCGCGGTTACGGTGCCTGGGTAAATTTTGACCTTTGGCCCGTACGCGTTCAGGTTCCCCACACGAAACTGACCTTGTGTCACATCTCGTATCAGGAGAATTTATAACAAACTAGAGTGAGCTATAACAATCTATCTCTCTCGTTCATCGTTCTCTCTTCCTCTGCTCATATCTATCCCCCCCCTCTCTCTCTCTCTCTCTCTATATATATATATATATATATATATATATATATATATAAAATCTTGTTGCACTACAGAGTGCTAATCTCGTCTTCCACTCTGTGAATTCCGGCTTAGGTGGTTAGATTAGAAGTTTTAACTGGAAAACAAGTCCGGAAATGTGCTGGCATATGAAAGAAGATCCTTGTGCCAAAACTGGTTGATGCTTATTATTATTATTATTATTATAATCATTATTATTAATATCAGCATCAACATTATTATTATCAAAATATTATAAACTTCACAGATATATTTATGCATGTGTGCGCATGTTAGTGTGTGTAAAATAGAGTATATATGAACTTTTAAAATATAATACTTTGTCTTTTTAATGTTTTATTCATATCATTACACTAGCCTACCGTATGGAGGAAAAAAAACTCCGGAAAACCTATTCTCCCCATTTACTCGGCCTCAATTCTTTGTAACCCGGAAATGCCGACAGATACTGTGTAATGAAGCGTTCAAAAGTTGACCAACGTCAAGAAAGGCAAGCTATTCTGTTTACTTCACGCCTTCCTCCCACAAGGGAGACAAAACGATTTACTTATGAACTGAACTGAGCAGTTACGTTTTCAATCAACGAAGATACGGTTATTGGTGAAAACGTGCTTATTGGAAGAAGGTTATGTTTTATAAACATTTTGACAGCG